AACTGTGGAAGCAGTGCTGTAAATTTTCATATCATTCGATTGAAGATGAACCAATACAACCATTCAATCAATTCTGTGTAAACGAATTCTCATATGACCATAATTTGAAGAGCCCCTTTCTCATTCGAAGATCATTGTCACTGTCAATTGCGTCACTCACTATCATTTGATATACGACAGTGGAGTATGGAAGAAATCCAGCAAAATGGTCCCTATCAGACAAGTCGACCCGATGTCGGATCAATGTAAGGCTAATTTAAGGTCGATGTCGACCCAATGTAGTGTTGTTGTCGGGTCAATTTTGGGTTTATGTCGGGTCAATGTCGCGTCAACATCGGGGTGGGGTTTGGTAGAAGTCAGGTTGGTATCGGGTTGGCTTAGCTTTTTCGCCGGAATGTCGACCAGAGCTCTGTTTATGTGTAGGTTACACTCAGTTGAATGATATATAGCGTTTCTCAAATGAGAATGATCCATGCCTTCGTCAAATGACTAAGCAACTGATATCACCCATTCAGAGGAGGTCCCCTTTGATAGCGAATAGCTACTTTTCTCATTTTCATCAAAAATGTTCAAATGATTTTAAGAATTTACAGCACTGTGTGGAAGTGCATCTAGAACACTAAGTTGAGAGCACGCAATAAGCTAATATGCGATATGCAATAAGCTTGAAATGCGAAGAAGAAGAAGAAGAAGACATGAGGAATTTCAAAGATATTGTATAGAATTGGCCAACATTCGTCTCTTGAGCTTTTATACACTGGTAATCCATCCAAATTTATGTTGATTGATATTGAACATGATTTGTCAATATCCGAAAAGAGTTGTGAGAGACATTCTCCGATACCATGATGCCAATATTGGCCATCTCCACAAGGTAGAACAGAAACTTCCTGAGGAGTTTGAAGGAGTGATCTAGGATCTTTAAGCATCGTGTTTGGTAAACGATCGTTGAAGATTTTTAGTAAATCTTTTAGAGCACTTTGTTTGATGCTATGAAGAATTGACCAGTTTTTAATCGCTGTCGAAAAAACTTCATTTTTATCGTCTTCGTCCTCGAGCTCCTCTTCAAAATACAGCGGTTCATCCTCAAACATCTGCCGCTGGTCGGAATGGTTATCTAGTAAGCTTGAAGCTTCTGTAGCTTCCCGTGCTGGTGATGATCTACGAATTCATTCATTAGGATTCTCGTTATGATGGCTGCAACTTTCCGATCCAATATTGGGTATATACTCATTTCCGTTTTTGTTTCCGGAGAAGTTCAATATTTTTTTTTATAATTTGCACTGACTTTACTTTTAAAACTTCTACTTGATTTAATTTTTTTCCATTTTTTTGCATCCATTTCGATAGAAAATGTGTTGCTCTGTCGTGCTCTTGAATAAGATCATTTAAACTTGAGGAAATCAATATATTCTTCAAGGAGTTTTATACAGCACTTTTGAAGTCGATTTATTGCCATTATAAATCATATCGTCAGGCAACATCCTCAAGTGCATGAATATTGTCAGGTAAAACGAAGTTTTATTTGTGTTCTCCAAGGGATTCTCTAGGATATTATAAAACCACAACTTACATAAAACCAATATTACTCAATCAAAACCGCCTTAAGTGCATGTTATATTTTCAATTCTTACCGAAATCAACTATAAAACCTGAATAAATCAAATTAGCTCTGGGAATGTTACTTGGGCATCGTGGCGAACAGAAATAGTTTCTGCAGTGCTACAATAATTATTAAAAAGTCATCATGACAGCTATCCATACAAAATAATCCGTTAGAGATAGCTTCATCAAGATACATAATTTGTCAATTCATAAAAAAAAATCACTGGATAACTGTTCAAAATACAGCTTTAACGTATGAAATGCAGTTTCTTTTAAAATCTGGGCATCGAATTGAAAACATTTATTCCTTTATATAATAAATTTTGAGAAGCATCAAGATAAAAAAATGTGGTGTTCTTATTCCAACCACGTTTCTAGTATTAAATCTATGAAAGTCACTTCCTCTTTCAATTCGATCACACAAATATCGAGGCAGCAAAACTTTAACTAATTTAAAAGTGAACACCATAGTCAAATATACAATTCTTTGCTTCACCGACAACCATTGTAAGGCGTCTAGCATCAAAGTTGAGGAAGTGAATCTATTACATCAAACGCATTATTTTATTCTGCAAGCGCTGTAATCTCGATATTTGTATTCCATTGACCAGAAATAAAATGGAAGGGCTAAAGTCTAGATAAGGAGAGATGATTATATAGCTTTATTTTACTGGCAACAGTTAAATCGCTTTTCAGTCGACATTGAATTCCATACTTCTTTGCAATTTTCTAGATGACATTGTCAATGTGAGAGTTGAACTTAAGTGTGTCATCAATAATCAGGCCAAAATATTTAATCTTCCCAACGTCTCATCATCAATTAAAACAGATTTAATAGATTCCGCGAAATTACCATAAATTTAGTTTTACTTGTATTCAATTTTAACTGTTTATACTTCAACCATCTACTTAGAAAACGCAAACCTTCATTCAAGTATAAAACGGCATCATCTAAATCCTTAGCTGCAATGAATAACACAGTATCATCTGCAAAAATATTAATGTCGCAAAATCGTAAAACACGTCGAAGTCATTAATATACATAATAAATAACAGGGGTCCTAATACACTTCCCTGGGGCACTCCAAGGTTATTCCCCACAGGACTGGAAACAGAATCATTAAAAACAGTCCGTTCATTTCTGTCAGACAAATAGCTTTCAAACCATATATATGCAGTACTCGTAATTCCAACGCACTTGATTGATCTTAACAATAAGTGCCTAGAAATTGTTTCAAAAGCGCGCTTCAAAAAAAACAGCGGCAATCGTATCTAAACACTCCAAGTTATTTTTCCACTTCGCCAATACCAAATTCAACACCGTTTCACAAGAATGACCTTCCCGATATCCCGATGTCCCGATTCTGGTATCAACAAACTATTACTATTTAAATACTCCAACAGCTGGCCTTTAACAACAAGTTCTAAAATTTTCTCTAATGTGTGCAACATGTTGATGGGACGAAACTCTTCGGCTTTAATTGTTCCAGCAACTTTTTGAATAGGAACCACTAAGGATTCCTTCCAAATTTGTGGCACATGTCCAGTTTGTAATGATTCATTAATAAGGTCCAGCAAGATGTGGCCAATGACATGAAAGCAATCTTGAATAACTCTAGGATTAACATTATCTACTCCAGCCGATTTTTCTAATGTGAAACAAATAACGCTAAGTTCATCTAATGTAATTGGGTAAAAACCTTCAAATCTACAAAAACTACTATTAACTGGCTGTTTTATTTCGTATATATATTTATCCACTTGAATCTTTAAAATATACTCTAAGATTGTCAGACATGTTTCTCTACGTTCCATAATTTACATGAACGATGGATTACATCTCTTGTTAAAATAGTTATTTCTAAGTGTGTGTAGTAACAATCCCATGTAGCATATTGTTATAGTGTCCAATGGACTTTGGTACGCTTTAATAATTTAAGAAGCAGTTTTGGCTTTTTTTATTTTTTGATGAAATGGACAAAATATCAGCAATGGTTGCTCCCGCGGGTTTTTTCCCTATTCAATTTACATCAGCCGTAGGTTTTCATTCTCCGGAAAAGTAAGCAACTACAAGACCCATGCTGGATCTCAGTTCTAATCATCACTTGCTGCAGTATAAACTAATGTAAAACTTCAAATTTCTATTTAGATAAGGGAGCAGCGAAGGATGAACCTTGATGTGTGCTTCTGATTAACAAATTACACCATTCATTGCATAACTACAAACGTTTGGGATTGAGAGGCACCCAATTGAAACGATTTGGATGGGGAGAGTGAACTTGTCAACTCTCTGTTTTAACATCTCGTGGATAAAGGGCGGGCTCTCTCCCCGCTCATTGGCATCCCCTTGTTAGAGAGCTTGTTTTTACCAATTGTATGATCATGTTGCTGGAAGGAGATTGGCTTTTGTCTCGTGAAAGCGTATAGGCGAATTTGCCTACCAATCCACCCAACCCATTTTTGGCCTTCATAGGTGGATGATCTACCCAAATAGAAAGCTCTAATTGATCAAACTAACGTGATAGTAGCCTTGTTATAAAACAACACATTAGTTAAGATTTATCAGCAAGCTCAAGGCTAACATTTTGAGCATGTTAAAGTTTCCATATCCAAATTCTACAAGTTTCATATTTCTGAGAAAGGTTCTTTCTCACCATATCCTCGCCTTCAAGGATTCGCCTAAATTCCCGAAATAAAAGTAAAAGTTCTGACGTAACCCCGCTGTGCTCCTTCGTTCCACCTTTCAACGAAAACCCAGCAGTGCAACCTGCAGCCTTCATCCCAATCAGAATTATAGACCCCACCAGAAAACCCTAATGAATCAACGCCACAGCGCAGTTGTAGGTGCATTCTGCGCCCACCAAATCCACCTCAGATGAATCTTCCGAGAAGAGCCCCAGCTGGGTGTGGTTCTCTGCTATCCAGCGGCAGAGCAGAGAACAAGAGAATTCTGACAAGAGCCGAACGCGTAACCACCTAACCTTGGCTGCTTCGTTCGTTCCACAAGAATTCTCACGTGACTGGAATTCTGAACGCAAACAACACAGACCTCGCTCACCCGCAAGGGAAAAGAAAACAATAATCCGACATATCATCACGGCCATCCATCCATGCGAAAAAAAAACCAGTGAAATCGAAATGAGCTGGTTCCATCGAGAATTCCTGGAAAATGCAGATGAGAGAGCAGCGTTGATGTTCGAGGTAAATGATGATGATTTCATTGTCGTCTCAAGCAAGAGGCTCTTGAACAAGTCGACTGGAAGAAGACTGTTTGACAAACTGCCCTCGGCGGCGGTGCCTCTTGTCTTCCTCGACTCCGTCCATTCAAATGAGGTCATACCCATACTCGATCAAGATGACGCCCGCAGTCACGGGCGTCGTCGTGTTTGACTTACCTTATCAGTTAATCCAATTTACAAGGGATGCGGTAGGAAAGACATCCGAATAGATGAGGAAATCTGAAAATGAAAACAAGCAAACAAACAACATCAGTTCGATCGTTGAATAACAGTTAAACTTGGAATAGAGTGAAGAAAAATGCATCGTGAATAACCAATTCGATATCCAATCGGTTACGAATTCCAAAAATTTCCAGCAGCTCGAAAATGTTTATGACAAAACGGCTTGGAAAACCTGTTTGGTTGACTCGTGCGGGTTTGGCTTCGATCTGCTGTTGTTGGATATCTTTCTTGTACAAAAGGAAGCTTACGATCGCGCGTCTTCCCGGATCGGAATCTGCCATCATCATGCAGCCAAGCGGAATTATCGGCAAAGCCGTTGTGTAGAGTGAAACATGGATCGATTATGGTGTCGTAAGGAGAGGTAATAGGTTGGGTAGTAACGGTTCGGAAGTTCAGGAGCTAGACTCATGCTATAAGCAACGACCTACCGGGTCATCAAATAGATGCAACGATGCTTCACACCGTTTTTTTCAGAGAGCATCTTCCAAAAAAACCAACACTTTGATAGCATTTCGAAGGCCTCCTTTCCCCCCTCACCAAGCACGGAATTAATCGCAGTTTTTAGGTTTCAAACCGCATTTCAAACCATCATATTTTTTATGGTGATGGTGAATGCTCGCATAACTGAGAGTAGCTCCACTTGAGGGACCAGTTTTTGTCTCAATCCTAGACCGAGATCTCCACGCGGGAGACACTTACGGTACACACATAATGCAAACAAACAAAAAAAAACCCGAAATCAAACATAATGCTAGGCTTTTTATAATCTCATTTGCATCATTAGAGGTCGTCAATCGTTGTCGTCGTCACGTGCGTGTGCGTACAGCTCGCTGGGAGATTGTGCCACGGGCGCGCCCAATGAACGATGACATGCCAGAATGGGGTTCGATTTGCAGAAGTGTAACTGTAAATTCCTAAACACACTGAATCACGACGACCGACGCCGGTGAATGGGCGTTGGGTGCGGTGGCGGGCGACCTCTCGAAGAGGAACACGCACACACAAAAAAGCGGGGCAGGTCAGCAACCGCGCGTGGTTATTAGGTCGTGATTAACCAGTTTTTCTCCGGTCAACGGTAGACCAAAAGTGACGATTCATTGTGGACCAATCGAAACAGGAAGCACTCTGCCATGTCGGGAATGAATTCGGGCAATCGGGTTCTCGGTGGGTCAATAGAAAATTTGAAGAAGACAAAACATTGCTCCAATATTCCACGCACGGAATCGCTATTACTTAAGGAAGAATTCACGACCAAGGTCTAATCGGAACCATTACTACATTTCGCTTATAATAAGCAATCGCTACCAGTAGTTAGTAGTTGTAGTAGTACCCATTAAGCGATAAACAAACCCCTAGACAGACAGTTCAAGATCGCTCACCCGCACCGCAAAGCTCTTCTTTTTTTTTGTAAATTTAATTGCATCACGAATTCGTTTCTCCGTCCATGCCTTCAATGGTGCGATGAGGCTTATTGGCAGTAAAATCAATTCAAAGAAAAGGTTGCACTGCATAAAAATAAACGAAAAAAAAAAACATCACATCGTGCCACCATAAAAGTCTGCCCGAAGAAAAGTTTACATAAACTGCTGCTGCAGAGATTCAGCCGAGCATTATAGGAGGAAAACCGGTTCCAATCTGGAATGTGAATTCAATGGAAGCGCGAGCAGTGATGTGGTGGTGATGGTGTGACTGCGAGAACTGGCAAAAAGTGCAATTTTTTGGGAGGAAAATTGTAACATTTGTATGCAGGCGAGATTTTTTGTCTCACTGTCATAATCGCGAACGCAAATCAGAGCGTTACGTTTACAGCGTGCAGCAGGATCCCAAATTATCTCTTTATCTTGTGTCCATTGAGAAGTGAGTATTTATTACGTGTTTCCCAATGGACTTCGTCGAAAGTGAGTAAAGTGTCTGTGAGTCATTGCTTTATGAAACAGGTTTGTGAAATTGCAGGAATGAATAATTCCGCATTGGCAGGATTTTGGTAAAGGATTCTTGAACTTCATCGCCATGAGAAACTCTTACAGAAATTAGTCATTCGGTATATGCCAGGGTGGTTTGAATTCCCGGTTGTTTCCCGGTTTAATTATAAAATGGAATACATACATACATACCATAAGCCATCTAGGGCTAGAACAAGAGTTAGTTGTTCCAACCACCAGAAGAAAATTGAGCATCGCATAACACCGTTTCATTCATTCTGAATCATCTTGCCCCTTAAATGCACCACAGTAGGCCTGGCTGTTTTGATATGTGTTGCGCATCTCTGATGTGAAACATATCTCAAATAGCCAAGAAAGATGCTTTTTTTTATCTAGTTCGTTTATTTGGAAGGCTCAATCGCGTTTGCTTTACGGAGTCGATTGTTCATTGTTTGTAACAAAATTCACTTAATTCAATGTATAGTAGGAGTTGGGTGGAATACTCGCGGTTTGCCCGAGGTTAGAGGTCGAAGGATAGGATCAGAGGAGGAGCTTGGGAAAGACAAGAAAGATGATCAAGCTATATCTATCATTTTTCAGGATGCTTTCAAGAACTGGCTGTGTTGCTGTTAAATAAGATAAATCTCTCTAGACATATAAAAACTGAATTTCTGTCTGTCTGACCTTTATAGACTCGGAAACTACTGAACCGATCGGTGTGTTAATTTGTATTCAGGGTTTTTTGGGGCAGGGAAAGGTTCTTATGATAATTCAAGACCCCTCCCCCCTTTATAAGGGGGAGGGTGGGGGGTTGGGCTCGCATACAAATGAAACAGAAATTTCTGCATAACTCGGGAACTAATCAAGCAAATGGAACCAAATTTGGCAAGTGGATATCATAGGGGGTAGCCCCTTAGATAGGGGGGGCTACGTAAAATATAGAATGTTTTCAATTGGTGCATAAACTCAAGCTAATATTGAATCCCGAGCAAGGCCAGGCACATTCAGCTAGTTAGATTATAAAATGGAATACCAGCATGGATGATTTCAGCACCAGATGTCGCTAGTTTAAAAATGCAGCATGCAAAAAATCTAAACTGTCTGCGTAGTTTATGCACAGACCCGCCTCTACATTTTAATGGATCAACCAATCCAAGGGAATTCTGAAGAGAGCTCCAAGGAGACTACCGATAATAATTCCAGGAGAATCGACTAGTAAGCAGGGATCGGTTAAAAACTCAAGTAGTGCAAAAAACACTGGTGCTACTCTCAAATACGGGAAGCGCGTTTTCTTTATTTGAAAGGAGAAAGAGACAAAGGAGAGAGATTGCATACCTAAGTGAGAGTAGTTGGATTACACAGGTGTTACTTGCGTATAGCACAATCGGGTAGTGCACCGGAGTAGCACTTTTCAATCGGGGGAGACGTAGGCTAGAAATTTTCGGGAATGACTGGAAACGATAAGCTGGGTGCATAATATTTAGACACTCATGTAGTATACAGTGTATCTCAAAATTGAGCGTATGAGCAATTTTTTGGAAGACTGTGAGTAGATAGATTTTTGAAATCTTGGCTAGTTGTTGAACAACTATTTATTGATTTATCAGTATAGCTTTGGACTTTATTGGCAGAGTATGTATGAAGTTTGAGTAATTTCAGTAAAACGATCCATTTTCAACTTTTTTCATAGTAGGCGGATTTTAGTAAAATTAGCGGTATTTTTAAAATCTTTATTATGACTACAGATGAGCAAAATTTCAATATGTTTGGCTCATTGTATTTCAAAGACAATCCCCCTTATTCTGCGAGTCACGTGACTCTCTGTCACCGGTGAGGTGACAATTGTCACCTCACCGGTGAGAGAGAGTCACGTGACTCGCAGAATAGGGGGGAATGTGTTTTTTTTTTAGAAAATCTAGAGTTTCTAAAATAGCTCTAACATCACAAACTCATCCAAATAAACCCAATACTACCGACAACCAATAAATGGTTGATGAGCCAGCAGCCAAAAACTTAGAAATCTATCTTTTGAAATTGTGCCCGTACAGCTGTTTTTTTCTTAAATGTAGGGACAGCTGTACGCTAAATTATGAGATACACTGTATGTGCAGTGACTGTATGGTGTTCAATAGCGTGAGAAAATACCAAATGCGATTCTTTTCTTAACGTGGTTTTTTCTAAGCTCGAAGTGATATTCTTTTAATTGTTGTGAAGAAGCTTTTTTGGGTCAGTGTGGGAAAAAATATTGTAGACAACTTGAATCCATTGTAATTTTGCACAAAAAAAAGTTCACTAAATTTTCAAGTGACGAATTTCACGCTAACTCGACAAATGGTTGGCAGCACCCTCTCAGATGTCAATGAAACTTTGTAAGTGTATAGATTTCGTCTACTTAAGCAACTTTGCATACTTATTTTCTTTAAAAAAAAATCTAGACCAACATTTGGAAAGGGCAGAACTTCATCATTTTCTTTAAAAAAATATAACTCAATAATGTCAAGTCCTACAAAAATGTTGCCAAACGATGATTTGTAAAGAAATAAATGAGCTTTTTATTAAACAAAATAAAGTATTTTTTCTACACCGAAAAAAAAATTAAAACTTAAAAATTAGATTTCTCAAAAGCCCAATTTTTTTTATCTGAAACTTTTTCTCAAGATAGACATACCATTTATCTACAACTCGTCAACCATCCACAAGTGGGTATGAACCACCAACAAGTGATGAACAACCATCAACAAGTGGCCACCAACCTGATGATATATCAGGTAAGAATACTCAGATCGATAATTTAAATTTACAGCTTTTTTATTTGTAGGCTAAAAAATACTTGTTTAAACCTTGCACACTTATAAATTCATGTTTTACTTTTCTTGTCTTACAGAAGTACCGTCAATTCCATCATTAGAATCAATTGCATCAGCGGACCAGTTACAGGGACCTTATTATGTGGAAATATTCAATAGCATCGTTCACACATTGAATGTTTCACCAATTTCATTAAGGAATATGAGGACCATGGATTACAGTGTAACAAAATCAGCAAACATCACAGTACGACAGAAAAATTTCAAT